TGTTTTATCTGATGTAATGGGTCTTAACATCAGGAGTACCTCAAGGCTCAGTGTTGGGACCTATTCTTTTTGTCATGTACACTGCTGGGGTTTTAAAGATTATTGATGAGTTTGGTTTTAAGTATCACGCTTACGCTGACGACATACAAATAATAATTAGTAATAAGCCAGAACTACTACAATGTGAAATAAATAGACTGGTCCAGTGTCTAAGCAATGTTGAAACGTGGATGTCTAACAATGGTCTCAAATTGAACCAACAGAAATCACAATTTCTTCCCGTTGGAACATGGCAGCAGTTGACAAAACTAAATATTGATTCGGTGGAAATTGATGACGTCAAGATTGGGTTCTGTGACAAAGTAACTAGTTTGGGTTGTTTACTGGATACCAGATTATCGATGCAGGATCATATAAAAACGATAGTGAGAGCATGTTCCTTTCAGATTAGAGAGTTATACAAAGTACGTAATTCTTTAAATAAATCGGCTATTCAGACGTTGGTGCATGCACTTGTTCTTTCAAAACTAGATTACTGCAATAGCCTTTTTTACGGGTTACCTGATAAACATGTTTCTACTCTTCAGTCCATACAGAACAGAGCGGCCAAGTTGATTGTCGGTGGTCTCAGATACAATCATGTAACTCCTATTTTGGAAAGTCTTCATTGGCTCACTGTTAAAAAAAGAATTACATACAAAATAGGCCTAATAAAATAGGCCTGTATAAAGCGTTACATGGTCTGTTACCAGGTTATCTGATCAATAAAATAGAAGAAAAATCCGTAATGATGAGTGGCATGAAGCTGAGGTCAGATGATAATATTTTGCTGGTTGTCCCGGATATCAATTTACAGATCGCGTCAAGAAATCTGGCTGTTTCAGGACCGGCTGTTTGGAACAGTTTGCCAAGATTTTTGAAATCTAAAGACTTGAAGCTGGATGATTTTAAGAAGAAATTGAAAACTTATTTATTTGCACTTTGATTTTGATTTTGAACTGTTTATTAATAACTGCCATTGTATACTGTTCTTTATTTTTTTTTTAATTGCTATGGATGGCGCTTTTGAGAACTTTTTGATTTTAATTGGCGCCTTATTAAGTGTTTTAATAATAATAATAATAATTCATTCATACATACATACATACATACATTCATACATACATACACACGCACGCATACATACATACATACAAACAAACATACATAGGAACATATATCAGATGTAAATGGTTTCGTTAGAAGCAAGGTACTCCAAGTTTGGGCAATGCTTTTCGCCATGAATGTAAGATTTTAAACTCTTTTTACCACCACTACTACTACTACTAAAATATTAATTATGGTTGTTATTATTCATATTATTATAATTACTATCATTATTGTTATTATTATTTTTATGACGTCACTATTACGTCATAATCTTCAGGCAGTGCCAATGGTTAGATTGCACAGCGTGGTGCCGATGGTCGTTAACCGGGTCAAGGACAAAACCTGTGGGGTGCGTAGGAGCGCCATTCAAGCCCTTGTCATTCTGATGGGGAACAATACCCTTGTCACCAAGGTGGTGATGGTGTTGATGATGTGATGATGATGATGATGATGGTGATGTTGTTGATGATGATGGTGGTGGTGGTGATGTGATGATGATGATGGTGGTGATGATGATGAGAATGGTGATTTCAACATCTTTGAACTATTCAAACTGGCTCTCATTTTAGTTATTGAAGTTTTCTGACCAATTGTAACTCTTATCTCCTAACCAATCAAAATTTTTTTTTCTAATTTTTTGAATGGGTTATGTCTTTCTGTTTAATTTTTTCCTGACTAATCAAAATGTCTACTTCTCAAACCAACCAATCACAGTTCTCGCTAGAAGATTACAGGATCTATTACCAGAATGAAAAGAAGAAACTTGCAGAAATGAATGAAGAGAGAGAGAAGATAAAGAATAAAAGTCGATTGATTAATTGATTGTTTGACTGATTGATTGATTAATTGATTGATTGATTGATTGATTGATTAGTTCATTCGAAACGAAATATACCTTCCAGAAAACAAAGCCAACAATAGCAATAGTAGTAACCATCAGACTGAAAAACACGCTGATGGTGATGACGACGATGATGTTGATCATGACGTCACAGTGGTTGAAAATAATAATAAGGATGATAATGATGTCGGCGTTGATAACGATGGTGATGCTGGTGGTGGTGATGATGATGGCTTGCTTCTGAAGCAGAAAAAATTTGTGGAATATTTGAGGGTTAGTTTTGAGATACGAAATATCCTTGTAATATGTTTGATAAATTTCATTTATCACTCTCTCTCTTTCACTTTCCAGATGTCTCTCTTTTTTTTGGGAGAGTTGCAGAGAGGCATCATCATCACCACCAGCCTACTTCAATCCAAGACTAACACGGATGTTATAGAGGCTGTTAACTTCTTCGTCACTGGATTCAAGGTTGGTCGGTTGGCTGGCTGGCTGGTAATTTGATTGGTTGGCTGGTAATTTGATTGGTTGGTTGTTTGGTTGAATGGTTGATTGATGGCCAGCGAGATAGCTCAGTCAGTAGAAGAGCCACATCTTGGGTTGTTGTTGCATGGTGGTCTGGTTCGAATACTGCCTGTCCTCGACTCAAAGACCATCATATGTCATGGATTTGTTAATAATTGAATGGCTTTTATGCTAGCACAATAAATTATATATTCCAACGAATCACACACACAACGCATGAATAAATTATGTTAATCATCGACACATGAATAAATTATGTTAATCGCCGACACGTGAATAAATTGTGTTAATCACCGACACGTGAATAAATTGCGTTAATCACCGACACATGTATAAATTATGTTAATCACCGACACATGAATAAATTATGTTAATCACCGACACGTGAATAAATTGTGTTAATCACCGACAAATGAATAAATTATGTTAATCACCGACAGGCGGGCGTGGTCGAGTGCATGATTGGCATTCGAAAGATGCTGCCTCTGATCTGGTCGGGTGAGAAAGATATTAAAGAGGCCGTCCTGAGAGCTTACAAGGATGTCTTCGTGGACGCTGGCAAGGAGGCGAGGTGCTGTGGCTGCTACTACTGCGGCTGCTGTCGCCGCTGCTGATGCTGTTCATTTTACACAGTGGTTCTCAAACTTGTTTTTTGCCCCTCCGCCTTGAAACTTTCCATTTGAGAGAAATTTAATACAAGTTAGCTTCTCAGCTAGTTGGTGTATGTTACGATAGTGATGTGCGCTAGTCTTCTTTCTCCGTTCAGGCACCTAATTTTAAAGGTAGATAAATCTTAAGAGAGAGAAATAAACAATGAAATACTGTCTTACAAAGGATGAGTACTTTAAAATCCAGGTTGAAACGAACAAACATGTAAATGAATTCAATGGAATGGGTTGAATTTGATGGTTTTTTTTATGATACTGTTGATATCAGGCGCAAATTTACCGACAACAGTCTTAAATCCCCAGGCTTTTTAATATCCAAGTTACTTCTTTCTTTTGGTTATCATCGTCGTCACAGCACTAAGTTCACGTTCGCACACATAAGAGGATGGATAAGCTGACAACAGTCGTTGAACAGCTAACCACAATCCAGGTTACAACAAAGGGATTTGCTTCTGTACATACATGCAATACATTTTTTGCGTCTTTGAGCTTTGCTTACGAATTGACAATAACGTTGTTGGGTTTCTGCATGGTCGGCATGAAAAAGATCTCAAATGTTTCATAGATAAGGTTTTTGTAATCTCAGCAAAGTATAATCAATACGTAAACATAAAACTTCTAAAGTTTTCAAATTTTGTCAAAATCTATAACCGCCCCCCCCCAGTAAGACTTCATCGCCCAGTTTGAGAAACACTGATTTAACTTGTTTAACTAACATTTTCAAATTAACAATCAACCTGACAACTAAAAAACTATAAAACCAATCAATCAACTAATCAACCAATAGGAACAAACTATACAATCAATCAACTAATCAACCAACAGGAACAAAAGTTTGATGATTGCAGATTCCCTGATAGCCCTGGCCAACTCGACAAACACGCTGGGTGATCTGCTGTCTCTTGAAGAACTGGTTGGTGATTGGTTGGTTGGTTGATTGAGTTGGTTGGTTGTTTTTTTGCTGGTCGAATGATTGATTGAGTTGATTTATTGATCTGTTTATTATATTAGTATATTTAAATCAATTATCTAATTAATAATAATGATGATATTATTATCATTTTTATTGTAATTCCGCCTCAGATAAAAAATCTAGTGCTAGATAATTCGCTATCCGATGATGTCATTCAGTGTTTTTGGCAGAGGTTCACTTTTAAAATTCCGGAAACCAGAAAGAGGCAGTCGGTTGCTGCACTAGTGCTTATCAAATTCGTCGCCAGGTTGGTTTAATTAGTGTATCATGGGGAAATTGGTGTAGTTAGTGTAATTAGTGAAGTTAGTGCCATCAGTATCATTATCGTCATCATAACTGCCATCATCACCATCAAAACTGCCATCATCGTCACCATCATCATCATCACCAACAACAGCATCAAGAGAGAAATAGTTCACAGTAATATCGACACTCTTATCGACTTTGGACTACGTCGTCATCATCATCATCACCACCCGCACCACCATAGTGATGATGATGATTTCGATAGAATGATGAATGATGATGGCGAGGATGAAACGAGAAGAAATGATGGTGATGATGATAATAGTGGTGGTTGTTTGGTTGCCATGCATTCGTGCATGGTTCTGTCTAAGCTCTCTATCTTGGTTGGTTTGTTTTTCACAATAGTGATGGTGTCAATGATGATGATAATGATGATGGTGATGATGATAATGATCTCACTCACCACCTATTATATTAATCATCATCATTGTCGACTTACATCTCCATCACCATTTGAATCATCATCGTCGTCACCGTCATCATTCGAATCATCATCATCATTTGAATCATCATCACCACCTTTATCATCGTCGTCTTCACTATCATAATTCGAATCATCATCACCATCATTATTCACATCACCACCACCATCATCGTCGTCGTCGTCACCACCATTATTCTAGAAATCTCCAAGTGAGAGGCCGTTTAGATTCACAGAGGAATCCGAACTGGCTGTCATTCTGCCGGACCTGCTTGTGTCATGTTAGTCCTATTGTTGATGTAGTCGCTCTGCTGGCTGGCTCGCTATTGTAATGGCCGTGGCCCTCTTCTATTTATACCCTCTACCTCTGAACTACCTCGTGTTAATAATAATTTTTCTTTCACTAGTCAACTAGATGCTGATGATTCTTATATTTATATTTCTTTTCCTCCATCTAATCTCAATAGTGTTCTTCATAATCTATCTCTATGTCTTTCTTCAATTATCGCTTGGTCTGACTCTTAAGTGTCTTAAATTTAATCCTTCCGAATTTAAATTGATTTGTTTTAACAGCTCTATTACTAATCCTTCCTATTATCTTAACTGATTCTAAAACTCTTGATGTTTCTCACAAGTTTCGTAGTCTAGACTTTATCTTTGATTCTAGTAGGTATGTCTCTGTCTTCCCAGATTAATAGTATTGCTAGAAGTTCTTACTTTCATCTACGTAGAATAAAAAACTTTTGCCTTTTCTTGACAATCTTACTCTTCTCCTTCTTGTTACTTCTTTAGCCTTATCTAGGATTGGTTATTTTAACTCGCTCTACTATGTTCTTCCTGATTCTACACTACATCCTTTATGTAAATCTTTTAACTCTGCTGCTCGTGCCACTTTCTTTTCTTATATCTTGCACTGGCAACCTATAAAGTATAGAATAATTTTTAAAATTTGCACAATTATCTATAAGTCTCAATCTAAATTATTTCCTAAGTACTGATCAGATATATTAATTGAACCTAAACGCCCCGGTTTGCGATCGTCTTCTTGTTCTCACCTCTTCTTAACTCGTGTTAAACACTCCTTTGCTAAATCTGCATTTGCTTTTTCTGGCCCTTATCTCTGGAACTCTCTACCTCCTTCTCTGACTACTTCTCCATCACTTACGAAGTTCAGAGCGGATCTCAAGACCCATCTGTTTGCAAAATTCATTGAGGAGCGCTGTTGAACATCTCGGAAATAGCGCTTTAAAAACTAACTGATTGATTGATTAGTTGATATCTCTGATAATTATTAAAGAAAGAATTGTAAAAACAATGTTACCAACGCTGATGGTGTTGCTGTTGTAATGACGATGATGATGTTGGTGATGACGATGATGAAGGTAACGATGACGACGATGATGATTATGGTGACGATGATGATGATGTCATCGCCATGAATACCAGGCCTGACGTATTCCAACCAATCGCACGTCGTGCCAATGGTGGAGCAGATGATCACGGCTATTTATAGAGTTATGGAAAACCCTGATAGGTTATGTACTGAGGTCATCAAAAGGCAGGCGGCTAAGCTAATTGACTCTATCGAAATTGACGGTAATGATGATGGTGATGATGATGGTGGTGATGATAACGATGTTTGATTGTGATGACGTCATTAATAATAGTAATAATAAAAATGACGATGATTAATAAATAGATACGATCCCAGCAAGCCAGCCACCATCGTCGTCGTCGTCGTCCTCTCAACAGGCAATGATAGAACCCGATTGCGCAACGCAAGCAACGCAAGCCACACCAGCCACACAAATAGTGGCTACAGCCTCTCAGACGTCAGTTGCAGCATCTCAGTCGACTGCTACAAGAGTGAAACTGCCTGGTTTTATGCTGTCGAGATTTTTTGCCACTTGCTGCAGTGTTGTCTTACAGCAGTTCAACCATCTCGAGAGTATCTATACCGAACTTAAAAGAAGAAAGGGGTAAGTTGATTGGTCGGTTGGCTAGTTGGTTTCTTGATTGGTTGGTTGGTTGGTTTGCTGATTGATGACTCATTTATCTTTTTAATGCGAATCTGTTATATTGTTGATTGAATGATTGAAGATGTAATTGGTTTACTGATTGTTGGTTAATTGCTTGATTGATGGATTGAATAATTGATGGATTGATTGATTGATTGGTTTATTGATTGATTGAATAACAACATCACAGATTGTCTGACATATCTAGCAACATAAACAACATAGCAAAAAAATCCAAAGACGCTAAATCGTTGCCGTCATCGTCGGTTAAAAAGCCATCTGCCGCCGGCAATAACAATGTCATGTCTGTTATCAGGGAATCTCTGGATGTGTTTATGGTTGGTTGGTTGAATAGTTGGTTGGTTGAATAGTTGATTGGATGGATGATTAATTGGTTGGTTGGATGATTTGTTGTAGTAAGATGATTGGTTGTAGTTGGATGGTTGGTTGATTGATTGGATGGTTGTAGTTGGATGGTTGGATGATTGGATGGTTGATTGGATGATTGGTTGGTTGGTTAAATGATTGGTTGTAGTTGGATGGTTGGTTGGATGATTGGTTGTAGTTGGATGGTTGATATTTTTATAGATGAAGGAATGAACGAATGAATGAGTATCACCAATAGTAATAAATATCCTAAAAATCAACTTCACTCAATAAATAGCCTGATGGCGAGATAACTGAGAAAGAGTCGGGATTGGCAGGTGAGGATTATGAGGCGGAGCTAATAAGAAGAGTCGCTGAGCATGAACTACTTTCAGGTGATTTGATTGGCTGACATGAAAATAATCATTACAATATATTAGTATTATTACGTATTATTATTTTACTATTTTTAGATGATGGAAGTCTACTGGGCTTGCTCAAGCCAATCATAGTTCACGTTTGCTCCAACCAGGTCAAATTTGCTGACCCAGATTTGTATGCCAGTGCCTCATTGGGCCTCGCTAAGTTTATGATCGTTAGGTTGGTTTTCATTGGTCGGTCGGCCGGTTGGTTGATTGATTGGTTGGTTGGTTGTGAGTTTATATGATTCTACTTATTTGATTGCAGTTTTCTTGCTTTATTGTTTTTTGTTTCGTATTTTTAAAAAGTTATATCACTGTTATTATTCTATTTTGCCATAATTTTCATCACCACACCACAGTTCTGAACACTGCGAGCCTCACTTGCGCCTCCTTTTCACCATCCTGGAGAAGTCGACCTACCCCGTGGTGAGGGCCAACATCATGGTGGCCGTCGGAGACCTGGTCACCAGGTTCCCTAACCTACTCGAGCCATGGACTGGAAATATTTATAATAGGTGTGTGTGCGTGCGTGTACGTGTGTGTGTGTGGTGTGTGTGGCGTGAATTCATTGCTGCTCCGACAAACATAAAAATATTTTCCAACAAATTAAATCTCAAAACTAATCGATCAATCAGTGATCAATCAATCAGTTTGTCTACCTAATAAAATCCAACAAACTCCATTTGTCTAAACAACCAGCCCAAAACCAACGCTCACTTTTCAACCAACCAATCAGAATCTATCAAACCCACCCAACTAAATAAAATCGACCGACCAATCAAAATTCAACATATCCAACTAACCATCCAATCAGGCTTCGAGATGACTCCACCGTTGTGCGCCTGACGACAGTTCAGACGATCAGTCGCCTGATCTTCAACGACATGATCAAGGTCAAAGGTCAGATTAGTGAGTTGGCCCTTTGCACCCTTGACGAGAATGTCGAAATATCGTCAGCGTCCAAACTATTTTTTATGGAGCTGGCTAAAAAGGTTTCTGCTTTTAGTTGTTGTATTCGTGCGCGTGTGTTTGTGTTTCTGTTTAATTGAGTTGGTCATTGGAATAGATTAATTAATTAATTAATTATATTAATTTAAATAGATAATTTTTGTTGAGTTTGTTTTTTTTTTCATTTCAAGCCAAACGCCATATACAACATACTGCCTGATATCGTCAGTAGGCTCTCAGATCTCGAGACTCGAGTCAACAATGATCAGTTCAAGCCGATCATGAAGTTAGTGGGCTGATTGGTTGATTACTTGGTTGGTTGATTACTTGGTTGGTTGATTGATTGATTGATCGTTAGCAGGCTGTTAGATTTTGAGAATCAAGTTAATAATGATCTGTTGGCTGGTTGGTTGGCTGGTTGGTTGGTCAATTGGCTGGTTGGTTGGTAGAATGTCAGATGGATCAAATGACCAACAGCAGCCAGGTGTATATGATGATGTTATTTCTTTCTCTCGCAGGTTTTTAATGTCTTTTATCGAAAAGGAGAAACAGTCAGAGAGCTTGATTGAGAAGCTGTGCCACAGGATTCGTGCTACTGTGTATGTGTTTGTTCGTTCGTTCGTCCGTCCGTTTGTCCGTTCGTTTGTCCGTTCGTTCGTTCGTTTATTTGTATACAAATAGAAACATATACACACTTACATACGCATACATACTTGTAATACACAAATTTCAATTTCTACAATATCGTCTATTGTTTAATTATCATTAATTTACATAAACAAGCACACAAACAAACATACACACAAACAAACAGACAAGCAAACACACAAACAAACACACACAAACAAACAGACAAGAGAGGCAATGGCAGGATCTGGTTTATTGTCTAACTCTTCTGCCTGCCTCTGACAAAACCATCAGAAAGTTGAATGAAAATTTCCCGTGCTTCGCTGACAAGCTATCCGATGTATTCGTTCTTGACTGCTTCTCCACTGTAATCTCTAACGCTAAGAAGTTTGCCAAAGCTGACGTCAAAGTGTGTGTGTGTGTGTGTGTGTGTGTGTGTGTGTGTGTGTGTGTGTGTGTGTGTGTTACTACTACTACTACCGCTATCTTTATTACTACTATTACTACTACTACTATACTATTACTAATACTACTACTACTGCTACTGCTATTATTTTTACTGCTTTTAAAATGTTATCTATAATACTGAGGCGCTTTTCAGGTTTGTGTGTCGATGTTTGACGTTACTACTACTGCTGCTGCTTCTGCTGCTTCACTAATTTATTCTTTTATTTTTTCATTCATTCGTTCGTTCAGACATGCATTGAGGAGTTTGAGGAAAAGATATTAACGCTGAATGCAAAGAAGAATGGGAATGAATTGATGGAAGATAAGGACATACTGATGGGCTAGTCTCAGTGGGATGAGTGAACGAATGAGTGAACGAATGATTGATTGATTGATTGATTGATTGATTGATTGATTGATTGATTGATTGATTGATTGATTGATATATTATGAATGAGTTGTTGGATGGAATCAATGAAAGATTGAATGAATGAATGAATGAAGGAATGAGCTAAAGAACGAACGAACGAACGAATGAATGAATGACGTAATCATCATCACCAACGACCACAATAGGAAGTTTCATGTCAGTTGGATCAGGCGAACGTGGGAATAAAAGAAGGAGTATCGTCAAGAAAGCAGCAACGGGTTTGAGCAAAACTTCATTCATTCACTCATTCATTCATTCACTTTTTCAAATGGATGAATAATACACAAATGATTGAAAGAACAAACTAAGGAATGAATGAGTAAATGAATGAATTAATGAATGAATAAAAAAATTATATACATATACATTATTTATTTGATTTTCAGACAAGAAAAAGCCTACGAAGAAGAAGGGTAACACGAGAAGCAAAGCAATGTACAACATCGACGAAGAAGATGAAGATGATGCGGAGGATGATGATGAGGAGGAGAATGATACCTTTAATGATGACGACCACGATTTACTGGGTAATAAAACTAGCAAGAATAATAAAAAGAATAATAATAATAATAATAACAACAACAACAATAATAATAAAAATACTAAGAAGAGACCAATTAGTAAGTCATCTGATGATAGCACGGACAACGATGCTAATAATAATAAGAATAATAATAAAAATAATAATAATAATAATAATAAATCTACAAGACCTAGAAAGAGAATTGCCTTAAGATTGAGCTCAAGTGACGATGACAGCGTCGACTTCGTTTAAATTTGGACCAAAAAATCTACATATGAAATTAATTTGATTGATTAATTCCAATTTAAAAATCCTAATAACGCGCCTATTTATTTGTTTGTTATTTTTGTCAATATTTCAGTTTTATTTCTATAATAATTTCTGATTTAATTTGAAAATGACTAAATACATTTTAACGTAAATCCATGGGAGTGTGTATGTATATCGAATGCTGAATCGTTTGGCTTATGTTTGAGTCAGAGGAAATTAATGACAATATCATTTAATAAAATAATATATGAAAAGTGTGTGTGTGTGTTTGTTTTTATGTTGTACTTTTAAATAAAATTGTAACTTCAGTTTAAATTAACGTTAATTTCAGTATTCAAAATGTATACAAAATTTGTTCTTTGGACGCCAGGATGTAACCGGGATTGTAAAGTGGGTGATGTCATTTTGGAGTTCGTATGTTTGATGTTTTTGACGGTGCAGAAGCGTGGGGATGACAGCTTGAGTTTTGAGGTTTTATTGATTACCTTGTTGAGCGCTATAACATTTTTTCCCGTTGCTACTGGCAACCATAAAGTGCCCGTGTTTTGTTTATACAATTAATTTTCTTTCAATTTATATAAAAACGTTGATTATTTAAATTTAATAATGTGTAGACGATAAAACATTTCAAAGTAAATTTAAAAAATGGAAAAAATCATGCAGTTGCAAAATTCTTACGGGGCCACGAAGCGTAAAAAACCGCCTCCATCAAACCCTACAAACAACAGAGCACGCAGTTCGGCAGGTTTAGATCGGCCAAATCCTGGGGACGCCATTTCCGTAGCGTACGGAAGCACCACAAAATATATAAGGGAAGTTGGAATTCTCGAGTTATTCAAATCCAGGTTGGAAGGAATCAAGCAGTTGGATAAATCGAAGAAGAGTGCGAAAGTTTATAAACCGGCGGAAGAACTTTACGACGAGGTCCAAGCCCTGAAAAGTCAGGTATACAGTTTGAAAGCTGAAAATTCTTTTCTAAAGTCAAAAATTAGGAAGTGGGAGAAAGATGTCGATCAAAAGCAGAAGACAATCAACGGGATGTTAGACCTGGGTCTGTTGGAACATGGGGTCAAAAACCCACCCAACAACAATTTGAATTCAAACGTAAGTATGAACAATTTGAAAAGGAAGATATCCAAACTTGAAGAAAAGTACAGAGAGAAAGAAAGAGAGTTAACGAATTTGTCAAGAGATCTGAAGACCACAAATTTTGAAGAGATGCAACTAACCATAGCCATCATGAAGAATGAAATTTTGAGGCTGAATAAAAAATTATTGGCCAGGGAAAATGAAGATGGCGACAACGATGATGACGAAGAATCAAAGCTCAGTCACTTCTTAAATGGCAAACAAAAGTTGAAAGGTAAGTCAAATAATTCAGAAAACCAAGTGAAAAAACTCACTGAAACAATACTGAAAATGAAGAGAGATAAAACACAGCTGATGCTTGAGAACAAAACGTTGAAAGTTGAAATCCAAAAAAGTTTAGAAATCAGAGAGAGCATGAAAAAAAATTTTGAAAATCTTATGAAACTAAAAGAGAACAACCTAAATGCACCCAAAAACATCCAAACAACGGATCCACCGCCACCACCAGACAGAGAAAAATATCTAACAGACGAAAATACAAAACTAAAACACCTCATTGACAACATCAAAGAAGACAGAGACCACTACAAAAATGAACTTGCCAAACTAAAACGACATCTAGATGACGATAAATTTTCTTCAACAAGCAGAACTGGGGGCCAAGTTAGTTCAAGAAAAGATGAGGAAAACCCAACATCTAGAAGGGAGTCAAAAGCGAGCACCATAAAACCAAACAAAGATTTGAAATGTCGAGAACTAGACAGTGAAATTGATGTAGAAACTGTAGAACACTTACAATCTATCATTAGAAATTCGATCTACGGTTACTTTTTAACGAATGATAAAAACAGTAATAACAAAGATGATGATGAAGAAGAGGATGATGACGAAAGATCAGAAAAGAAAGTTCTAAATTCAATTGAAATGATCCAAGCGCTGGTCAGAAATATGAACAATAAATTTTATTAATTAAACCGCAATTTGAATAAAAATCGTTACTTAAAATTGTTTAAATTGAATTAAGTATTATTATTTCGAACAAATTTGAATTTAAATAATAATTTAAATACAACTTTATTGTCAACTATCTTTAGAGTCCTTAATCTTTTTCTTTAAAACAAATGAGAACATATGAAAAACTTTTTTTGATATGAACCGTAAATGAGAAAACAAACGAAAACATTTGAAAACAATATCTGTTAATAAATTAAAAAAGGTTAAAACATTGTGAATCGATCAGACGATCAACCAACCAATCAGTTAGACAATCAGTTGATCAATCAATCAATCAAAATCGTTAGTAAACAATTTGCCATCTTTTATAGTAATCTTCGTTTTTTTATACTTTGGAAACTCTAGCCAGTTCAATTTAGGATTCATATTATTTTCAATATCATTACTTTCTGAACATGAACCAAGATCTTCCTCTGAAGAAGTATCTCCAAAAAATGACGACTCATTAATTAGGTCAAAGTTTCCGGTCAGCAGTTGACCTACTTTACACAAATCCGGGACTGAATCTGATTTGTTGATTGGCTGGAGGGCTGGGAGTTTTTCATTGGAATTGTTACTGGATGTGGATTGAGGAATATGTAGATCCATTGTGCTGTACGCTAGATCTGATGGCGAGGGTGAGTAGAAGTCACCCTCATCATCGTTATTATTATATTTGTCGGCGTTTTTGTTGGTTGAGCTGTTGAAATTATTAACTTTATCTCCGTATGAGAATGTATCAGCATGAAAATTATCGTTTCTGTTATAATTACCGTAATTATTGACACAATTATTACTATTGTTGTTGTTATTGAAATAATATCTGTTGGATGGTTGGTTCATTCTTCTCTTTTGGCTTGTGACATCATCGGTTATTTTCATTAAATTATTTCTTTGGTAACAATTAGCTGATGATAAAGATGACGGCACCGAAGATGATGATGATAAGGTGTTTCTACTACTTTCACTTTCGGTTTTTTTGCGAAAATTAAATTTTTTCTTACTGGTAAAATACGGAAAACCGATTGGCGTTTTAAAAACTGCGCCAGATATATTTTCAAACTTGTCATTTGTTGATTTAATTTTTTCATTGTTAACATCCTCATCCTTATCATGCGTTAGTGAGAATGACGTCAACGCTTGAATGCGAGGTGATTGGATGGTATAATTGGTGCTGCTATTTTTAGCGTTTCTGTTGGAATTACCAGCAATGTAGGAAGAAACTTGTGGAGATGTTTGACGATTGCTGAGTTCATTTTGGTAGCTGTTAGCAGCTGGAAAATTGTCTCTAATTGGTGGCATTACATTGATGGATTTGTTGTATTCAAAATCTGAAAGATCTGGCTTCAATCTCTTGAAAGCTGGCATGTTTCCATTTTTTCTCTTTAAATCTTCCATGGCTATTTCATATTGATTCTGAGTTCTTAATTCCGATTTTTTGACTTTATTTGTTTGCACTGTGCTGGGAGTTTTTGTTACATGAAATGTGTTAGTGCTGTCTCTTCTAACTACTAGCGCAGAGCCAAAATTTGGCTTGAAGGTGAGAGAAATATCAAAGCCAACCCAGTCTTGGCTGATGTAGTAACCTAGTATATCACCAGAATCAGCTGACTGCACCACGGAAAATTGCTGAGTCCACGTGTTACCAGGAATCTCCATCAGATGTGAATCCTTAATTTTAGCTTTACACAAGATGGCGTTATCTGGACCCCCTACTAGCAGGATGCAAGTGTGTGAATTGCCTGTTGAAGATTTAGTTTTTAACTGTTCAGCATTCAGTAACGTAACACGAGCTGTTAGCTCTGCTTTGTTGCTGTTGCTTGTTGAGTTCTGTGTTATTTTGAAATCATACTTTGGAAGTGCTTTCACGATGTCTTGTAAGGTGTTGCCGAATGGGGGCTGTCGGTTGATCATCAGTTCTAAATTTCTGGGATTTGTGTTTAATATAGATTCGAAAGATGTAACTCCAGAGTTGACAAGTGCTGTCGCCATCACGAGACCTATTCCACTGATCTGCTTGGAAACGTATTTTGAACTTTCCCAAAGTTTTGTTTTGATACATTTGTTAAGTAGGACAGAGTTGAGTAGAAGATTGAAGTGAGGCTTGCACCAGACCACCTCAACCAAACATCTGCTAATCCGACCTGCTGATCTGAGGATCTTGTTTGTGTCTTGTTGCAGTGCAAAATCATGGAGAGGTAGGCAGCCCAGCAATGTTTGCAGCAAGCAGTTGACTTTCATTACATTCGTTTTCACCTTCTCTGGCATTGGAAACCTGATTGTCATTTTACTTTTGTGCTTGTTCAGATCATTAAGGACTCTTCTTTCATTCACTCTAAGGGTAATATCTTTAAATTCTTCACTGCTGCAGAATACATTGAACAGCTGCTCAAAACTTTCTGAGCCAGTGAGTGTGAAAAAATTTTTCATGGTGTCAAATGCAACGCAATAACGAGCCATCAACCTGCCATTACTTGTGGAGTTGAGCTCAGAACAGTCACCATCCAATGATATCAACTTCAAACTGGCCAACTTGTTGAGGTTTGTCAGGCAAATGTCTTGAACTTTCTTCTCCACCTGGTCCATATTCTTACCTAATCCCACGTCATAATGTTTCGGATTCTTATTCATCCTGATGTAGAGGAAAGATGATTTAATCCACTCGTGAGCAACCATCACATTCGTTATAGTTCTCAAGACGATTTCGGCATTCAAGTGTTCTATGAGATGAAGGTGCAACGTGCTTTCAACCAGCTGGGTGCCATTCAGCAGTGATTCATACTTGGACTTCATGCTGTTTTGAGTCATGATGACAGCCGTTGCCGACGTGTCGAACTGTGGCCGACCTGCTCTGCCAATCATCTGCAAGACTTGACTCTCTGTGTACTCCTGAAACGTTCCCATGACATAATGCTCTGTTGATTTGACGATGACAAGATGAGCTGGTAGGTTGACACCCATAGCAAGAGTGCTTGTTGAAACGAGGACAGCCAGGAAGCTAAGAGAAAATAACTCTTCAACTAATTTTCTATCGTTTAGATCCAGGCCTGCATGGTGATAAGCTATTCCTGAGACTACTAATTCTCCAAGTTTTGAGTCTTTAAATTCACTAGAAATTCGTCTCAGTTTCTGTTTTTGTTCATTTTGAAAGATAAATTTTGTTTCTTTGACCAAAGTTGTAGCAGTTTGTACAGTGCCTTTTCTAGTTGAACAAAAAATAAGAGTAGGCTTCATTTCAGAGTATGTCTCCAAAATGTTTGGAATCCTGTAGTTCAACAACAGATCAAACTTGAAAGCAGAAGTTGTGCTCGATTTATTGAAACCCAGAACAACTTTCTTCAGTGGAACTGGCCTCTGATCTTCACTCATCTTGTAGTAAAGTGCAGGGTTCCCCTTGCTTCCAAGCCATGCAGCTATATCGTCAATGTTAGGAATGGTAGCAGAAACAGCAATGAATCTCAAATTTTGATTGCAATCAGTGAAGTTGGCTGCAGTTTCTTCTGCAGGCCTGTTGAAGAGGTGAAGGGTCTTCATCCTGTTGACTACTGCTTCTAGAGTTGCTCCCCTGGTATCATCATTGATAGTGTGCACTTCATCTATGAGGAACAGTTTAACAAGTTGAACAAATGATCGGTTTTCCCTCCATCTTCTCGTCATAAAATCCCATTTCTCTGGTGTTGTTAGTATCACATGGACTCCTCTCAGTTCTGAGTAATCTTCAATTTCTGAGTCGCCTGTCAGTTCACAGCAGTTCAAACCAAGCGGGGATAACTTTGCTTGCCACTCATTAAACTTTTCACTAACAAGTGCCTTTATAGGCGCCATATAGACAATTTTAAAATTAGAAATCTGTCTTGATTCTTTCAAAAGAATCAACCTCACAATGGCCAGTTCAAATATTACTGTTTTACCTGATCCAGTTGGGGCAGAAATGACCAAAGGTTCATCTTTATACAGAGCATGATCAAATATTTCTGACTGCAAGTAATTGAAATTACTGAAATTGAAAATATGTCTGAACTTTTTAGGGATTTCTGACACAGATCTGAAGTTTTCCCTGTTAGAATTTGAGTGTTCTACAGCCAAGTTTTTTTGTTCGACAGGAGTGCTAAATTTTGTTGATACATTTTCATCTGTGTTGTTGTTGTTGTTCAAAAAGCTGTCATTGATATCTAATGAGTGATGAGAATTTTCTGTGCAAATAGTTGAGTTTTCAGGCAAAAAGGTTGAAAAATTTTGTTCAACATTACTTTTGTTGAAATTCTGAATTGGATTTGTTGAATTATAACAGAATCTACTAGATTTTGAATAAATTTGATGTTGTTTAGTTCTGTAATCTTGATCCTCATCATCATCCTGAGCTTTCATATCAAATTCACTCAAATCACTTTCAGATTTATCATCTCTGTAATGTGAATTGTCATCATTTTTAACAAATTCATGGTTATCAACAAATTTATTCGCTTTAAAATCATGAAAATTAGACAAATATGAGTTTGATACAATCTTGTCAACCGAATTACCCATATTAGAATTAGATGAGTTGAGAGAATTTAGATAACTAGGTTTTGGAAATGTGAAATCATTAAAATCATCAAATTTGAAGAAACTTTTTGTGAAAGTACTTGAATTGTAATTGTGAGTACTAGGTTGAGGATTATTTCTGTATGAAACATCATAGTCACCATCCTTTCTCACATTAAAAACATCATTAACATAACATTGAAAATTAGGTACATCATCTTTTTGCTCTAAAAAATCATTTTTTACGATTTTCTGACTGATGTAATTATTTTTATTAAAAATAGAAGGATCAAAACAACCAGGAAATGATGAATTTGAGAAAGAATTAACAGCTGAATCTTCCTTATTAGCAGATATAGTTTGATGATCAACAAAATTCTGGAAAAACGGTGAAGAAACGACATTGCTACGGCGACCTTCGTTTTGTAAACTTTTGCCAGATTTTGAATTCGAATCCCCACTGAAAATTTGCGACAATGGTATTTCCCCAACTGGAGCTGACGGAACAGAATCGAATTTAAAATTTTTCGTCTTTCCAACAGCATTTTGAAAATTAATCTTTTCGGAATACTCGTTGCAATTCTCAAAATTATTAAAATTAAAAATTTCATTTTTTGCCTGATCAGTCGAAGATAGGCCAAAAGAAAAATTCGGACTTTTAACGTCATGGTGAGAATTTTTGAAAAAATGGCTACTTTTATGTCCAGGCAACTTAAATGCATCAAACTCATCAAAAAAACTCATTTTTCATCACTAAAATGTGTCTAGATGAACATTTTAAAGTACATTTTAAATAAAATGGAAGTATTAAAATCGGATTCAAATAACGAAACTTAGCAGACGGCCATTGAACAATTAAACTTTTAAAGCACTTCATTTAAAAAAAATTTCGTAACTAAAAATTCATTCATAATTGTTACGAATAGAGATTTAAAAACACATTTGAAGCAATTATATATGTATAACAAAATTAAAAACATTATTATAAAATGGCATGAGTATGTGAACAATATAACTACCACCAGGTATAATATAACATGCTGTATATGAACACACACATACAAACATACACACATACAAAAACATACAAACACATGTGAACCTACGGACATACAAAGTAATATACAGAGAAACAGACATGCATACGCAAATATAGATCAAATTAATGTAAAATGAAATCACAATTCGGGCCACTGATTTAATTCTTCTTCATTTGGCTTAAACGTCCAAAAGTTGAGGTATTTCTTTTTAAAAAGTTTTCCAGATCAGAGTTATGTGGAATGTGCTCAATATCGAATTGAGAATTTTTAACTTCAGGAAGTTTTGGTGGCTTAAATGAATTATAACTCAACACTTCATCAGCCACATCATCTTTGCCATCTGATGAAAATCTGTTCAACTTATCTGTAAGGCTGCAATATTTATCAAAAATATTATCCATTTTAGTTATCAGACCATCAATTTTCTTTATAGTTTCTATATATGGAGCTTTGAAATCTGAAAATTTTTCATCATTTTCTTGGTTCAATTTTTCAAAATAACTCTTCACAATGGACACCACATTCGCTTCATTTTGCTTAATTTTAGATCTATTTTCTCTGTGCAGCAGTTCTCCATTTTTAATAATTGTCTCAATTTCGTCTTTTTTACTAGCAGAAATGACTCTATGATGAGAACATTCATTTTTAAGGTCAATCAACTTCTCAAGAGCTTTTTTTGTTTTGGAAGTGGAGGCAGGCGTAGTTAAATCATCGCCGGGAATAAAGACCGGTGACGAATTACAATCACTCCTAAGATCAACTGCTATTCTGTCACGATCCGATGTTATCAATGGACTACTAGTGTCCATTTCTCTCTTCAAGCTTTTTAAACGCCTTCCATCCATTTCTTTCGATTATTTATCAATCTGTAAAAAAAATTTATTCGCTTTTTGTTAAGTTAATTAAATTTTTAATAATATAATTTTATTTAAACAGTTTATGGGAAGGAAGTTTAATTAAATATTGATACAATACAATCGAAAAACGAAAGTTGATTGACAAGAATTTTTGAAATTTTCCAAACTCTATTTATAAATAGCGAGTAAAATATATATATATATATATATATATATATATATATATATATATATATATATATATATATATATATATATATATATTGGTAATATGTTATAAACCAAGGCGAGGCCAATTTTCCAATATGCAATACTTTCTTATGGGTTGAAGCAGGGATATGCAAAGAACCTCAATTTTTCAACTTTTAATTATTTTCGGTAATGTCAATTTTATTTTTTAAATGTATACCAAATAAAAGTAATTTATTACAACATTGAAGAACAATTAAAAAACAATTAAAATTTTAACATTTTGAATAAAAGCAGTATTCCGAAATTAGTAAATATACGATCGTAACTTTTGACTCATCCTTCAAATCCCCTCCGAAGGTAAGCTCCTTGTTCGACTGTTAAAAGTGAACGAAGGCCGTTATATTTATTCTAGTTATGTGAACCTGACTAATTAAAAAACATCAAATAAAACTTATAAAATAGGATGGGTAATTCGTAGCGAAATCGTTGGAGGAAATGACGTCATGTTAACAGTAGTTATTTTACAGTTAATAATGTTGTATTAACACATTCAAATTGTACGATTGTGTTATGGTGTAGTCTCAAATTATCATGAATTCTTTTAGAAAAATTTAAACTTTTTACTATATACTAGTTACTTTTATCAACAATTTAAAAAAAATTCAATTTGATTTCATCGCGATATCGATGATGATGATTGTGACCTGACTGATTAAAAAGCATTAAAAAAATTTTTTAAATAGGATGGAGAATTTGTTATATTGGGATGTTCGTATGTAAAGCGAGCAAAATCTTAATATCAAAGCGCTTATAAATCTAAGCATATTGGCTCAGCTTGGCTCGGCTTGGTGTTTGTCGTTTGTATTTGCTTCACATCAACACACACACACACACACACGCACACACACACACACACACACATACACACACACACACAAAATTAAATTTTATTTTTGTCGTCGCCTTTAACTTTACCTTTTAGAACAATCTTTCTAATAATGTCTATTTATTTATTTGTAAAATGCTGACTGGTTTCTAGTTTTTTTTTTAATTTGGTTATATAATTTTTGGAATTTCTTGATTTACTTTGTATATATGCACGTATAAATAATTTGTTTGGTATGTTGATTTAGTCATTATGTTATGCTGTGAACTGTTCTTACTAAATGTTCATGTTACGTGATTTATTATCCTTCGAGAACTTCTAAGGAGTGTGTATGATAATAATAATAATGGATAATAATTATTTTTTATCGGTCGATATTTAGTTATATTTGTTTGTTTAAAATTCGAATCATTTAAAACATTGACCTTTTTAAAATTTTAATTAACCGTCACTTTTAATTTTTGAATGAATTCAGATAAAAGCAACTATTGTGTTTTTCTTTCTTTACTAAAATCTCAAAATTGTTTGTAGATCTGTACGGTTGATTGTTTGTTTAATTGATTAATTAATTGATTGATTTACATTGATTCATTCGTTCGTTCAGACATGCATTAAGGAGTTTGAGGAAAAGATATTAACGCTGAATGCAAAGAAGAATGGGAATGAATTGATGGAAGATAAGGACATACTGATGGGCTAGTCTCAGTGGGATGAGTGAATGAATGAGTGAACGAATGATTGATTGATTGATTGATATATTATGAATGAATTGTTGGATGGAATCAATGAAAGATTGAATGAATGAATGAATGAATGAATGAATGAATGAATGAATGAATGAATGAAGGAATGAGTGAACGAATGAGTGAACGAATGATTGATTGATTGATTGTCAGTCAGTCAATCAATCAATAAATCCTAGAGAAACACACACACACACACGCACGCACACGCACACACACACAGGTTTTTACATGATGATTTCAATTTTTGAAATAAATTTTTGTACATTTATTTGTTTAAAAATCTTTATTTACGAGAATATTTGTAACAAATTATTGATAAAATCACCAGCGTTGAACAAACTTATAAGTTAAAAAAATCAAATGAATGAATGAATGAATGAATGAATGAATGAACAGAAGAACGACTTTATGAATCATGAATCAGTAAATTAATCAATCAATTAATCAATCAATCAATCAATCAATCAACCAACCAACCAATCGATCAATCAGCCTAAAAAATGAATCAAGAAAATTAAAATTTTTCAAACTTTGCACATTGTAAACAAGTTAATATAAATTAAAAAAAAGGAAACACATAAATATAAACACACGCATACACACAGATAAATGTATTTTGGAGATAAAATCATTCAATTACTTATATGATGAAAGGAGAAAAAGGTAAATAAAATAAAAGATTATACATTTGAATAGACATAATAATGTTATAACGGCAGTTTATAAAGTAAACACACACACAAACACACACACAAACAAACAAGTACACACAAACACACACACACACAGGCAAACGCCTACAAATATGTATATAAAGTTTACAAATTTTTATAATGAATTGTCCAAGCAAAGTTATATGAAAGCAACATTTAACCGATCAATCTCTCCCTATCTCTCTCTTTCTCTCTCTCTCTGTATATATATATATATTTATATATATATATATATATATATATATATATATATACACACATATATTTATTCATTTAAAATATAAAATGATAAATGTTAAAAGTTTGAATATTAATCACATCACTGGTAAAATTTATAAAACGATTTATTTGCTTCACTCATTCATTCATTCATTCTTTCATTCATTCATCCACCCACTCATTTATATATATATATATATATATATATATATATATATATATATATATATACAATGTCATTTATCATTCTGTCAATCAACAATAAAAAACTGGCTATATATAAAATGAACATATATATGTATATACATATAAATATGTATATAAATCAACTTCTTCATCATTACCATCATCGTCATCGTTGCTATCATCATCATCACCGCCACCACCAACATCATCATCACCACCACCACCAACATCATCATCACCACCACCACCACCAACATCATCATCATCGTCGTCGTCATCATTAACTGCAGGGAGGTGAATGAATACTTAACGTCAGGCAGTACATGAAGACCACTCCTCTTAAACTGTCACAACACTCGGGTAACTATTACCATCACCACCAGCGCCACCACCACCACCGCCACCACCACCACCACCACCATCTTCATCATCATCGTCGTCGCGCTTTTTATTAATACTATCATCATAATCATCATCATTTTCATTTTTATCCACGTCATTAACACAATCTTTCTTCTTCTTCTTCCTCCTCATTTTATTACCACCATCGTCATCATCATCGTCCCCATCGTGGCGACCTGCCACGACCTTGACCTTGTCAATGGGTGAGACTATTTTTAGATGATCGGGTTTTCCGCAGCTCGAAGCATTGCCATTGGTCAGAGCACTAAGCATAGAACTATTATCGTCGACCGAGCCGATGTAGAATTTTGCCTTCAAAGATTCTTTGCTGTTGCTGTTCTTGATGACGTTGTTGTCTCCCATGATGACGTCACTGATGACGCTGTTATTGTTGTTGATGATGGCGGTGGTTATTTTTGGATTTTGCCTAGGTGGCGATGGTGGTGGTTCAATTGAAATTTTTAAATCTTGCTGCAACGCAGGCGCTAGGTCATTTGATGCCAGATCAATTAGAATATCGTCATTGTCGTTGACGTCATCACCTCTGGTGATGACGTCACGGTCGTCGGGTTTTTTAGTCTTTGGTCGGCCATGTTGTTTTTTGTGTTGCTGTTGTTGTTCAAGTGATAACTGCTGATGAAGACGCTGAAATTGATCGTCAAAAAATTGTTGTTGTGGTTGTTGTTGTTGTGATTGATGCTGTTGTATTGCCCCATACGTTTTGGGATGATGATGATGATGGTGGTGGTGTTGTGATGGTGATGATGTGGACGGAGAGTGAGAGTGAACAACCGCGTTGATGATGCCGTTCTCAAATGTCAGACCTTGGAGTTGCAATGTTTGTATGTATGTATGTTTGTTTGTTTGTTTGTCATCATCACCATCATCAACTCTAACATCATCATCCTATCTTATCATTCGCCATCACCTTTTAACCACCCCTTCAACATCATCATCATCATCATCATCAACAACAACCTCTTCCTCCAGCAGCAGCAGCAGTAGCAGTCGGAGCAGCGGCCTCATCATCCTCATCGTCACCGATCAGAAGATCGTCATCATCGTCGTCGTCATCAGTTCTTCCTCTCAGCAGAGCGGTTCTCTCATCGCCATCATCACGGACATGTGAATCGAGGTCGTCGTCGTCGTAATCGCCGTCGCGTGACCTCGACCTTGAACCTTGACCCTTCGCCTTCTTGCTTGACCTCGGTCCTCTCCTGCTGAGGTCGGCCTGTCTCTTGCACAGAGGGCACTCCTGCTTGCTCTTTATCAACCAGGGGTCAACGCACTTGCAATGGAATGCTGATAATGATCGCGGCGGTGATGATGATGATGATGGTCATGGTGATAAAAAAAACATTGTTTCGTTTCACCGAATGTATCATCACTACCATCATCATCATTACCCTCACCACCATCGCCATCATCATCATCATCATCACCATCACCACCATCATCATCATCATACTGACCATGTCCGCAGGTTAGAACCCTCAGCTTGTCACCATCCAGGTACTCGTCTAGGCAAATGACGCACGACTCATATTCATCACCTGGTCATTACGTCATCATTACGTCATTCTTATCATCATCATCATCATTGTCATCATCATCACTATCATCATCATTATCATCATCATCACAATTACCTTCACTATCATCATCACTATCATCATCACCACCACAATCATCATCATCACCTACCTTTAGAATACACATGAACGGGAAACCATCTCAGCCGCCATCTTGCCAAGATGGCCGCCCTGGCCTTGTACAGCCGGTAGCAACCGTACATGCCCTGCCATTGTTGATGAAGTTACTATCAATCAATCAGTTAACCACTCCTACCAACCAACCAATCAATCAATCAATCAATCAATCAATCAATCAACCAACCAATCAATCAATCAATCAATCAATCAACCAGCCAACCGACCAATGAGAGTATAAGAGCGCTAAGGACCGACAGGCACAAGGTCCCCAATAATATGAGGACGAGTTCGTTGACACCGCTGTAATCTTTGTATATAACTGTTGTTACGCTGTGTGTGTGTGTGGATGTGTGTGTACGTCTGTGTGTGCGTGTGCGTTTGCGTGCATGTGTATGTGTGTGTCACGTTTGATTCATTATGGTAGTTAAAAATTAAAGCAATGACAAATTCATTATATACCATTGTCATCAGTACATTTCAACAGCATCATCGTCATCGTCGTCATCATCATCATCATCATCATTCTCATGGTCATCTTAAAATTATTGGTCCCCATTGGTCTAAATCATCACAACAACAACGACAACACATTAACAACAACAACAACAACAACACATTAGCAACACGACAACAACACATTAACAACAACAACACATTAACAACAACAACAACACATTAGCAACACAACAACAACACATTAACAACAACAGCAACAGCAACAATGCAACAACGACAGCAAAATGAAAAAATTAACTTGTTCATGCTAGCGTATAGAACTAATATGGAGTAGCTTTCATTGGATACCATAGTTGATGGAATATCAACTGATACATTTGTTTCTATTGAGGTTAAAGGTTAAAAGTTACTCTACCCTCTGTGCTTGCTTCAGAGGTTTCAACAACAAACATTGTTGTGACGATGTTGATCGTTATCATCATCACCACCAACACCATCATGATCATCATCATTACAACCATTACCATCACTACTATCAACATTTTAACAATCATCATCATTACAAGCGCCACCACCATCATCATCACAAGCGCCATCATCATCATCATAATCATGATTATCATCATCATCATAATCATCATCATCATCATCATCATCATGACTTACTCTTCATGTAATTTTCGTCCTTGTACTTGCCAGCGAGGGCATAGTCTTTATCGTCGAGCTTGCGATTCAGTAGAATGACAGCCGAGTAGCCAGCATTCTCCAAATTCCTAACCTACAGCAGTTATGATGATGATGATGACGTTGGGAGATCATTATCATCATTGTATTATCATCACTAGCCAACCAGCCAACCAACCTCAAATCAACCAACCTCAAATCAACCAGCCAGCCAGCCAACCAACCAGCCAATCAACTAACTTGCTCTGGCAAGCACGAAGAGTTCAACTCGACGAGGGCAAACCACAGGCTACTTGTAAATGGAGGTGGTGTTGGGACTGTTGAACATGGGTCATCTGAGTGCACCAATTTGTGATGACCCTATGAGAAGAATAATAATAATTTTAATCGTCGTAACAATCGTGTAGAAATTTAGAATAACTATTTTAACTTTACTTTTGTTTTTCGTTGTATATATTTGCATATTTATTAAATGAGGCCATATAAATTTTTAGTTTGAGCTCTTAAATAGTGTCATGTTATGTTATAACCACTATTATTATCCCCCTAAAATTTGTAAAAAATTTACAAATATGATGGTCAAATGAATCAATCACCACACCAATGAAACAAACCCTAATTCCAGAGTTAGGGAATGAGGGCCCCACACTAGTTGGGTAGTCGTTCATGGATTCCAGCACATCACTGACTCTATTGTCCAGCTGTTCAGATTTTATTAGTAAGTTAGTAGAAAAAAAAGAAATTTATTCAAAGTGACTTATAAAATTTATTTCTTTATTATTATTTTATAAATTTATTAATTATTATTATGGAATATATTGGGGAATTAGGAGAATAAAAATTATGTTTAATATTATTTATAATAATTGATATTATAAATTATATTAATATTATAATTTATTTTAATAAAATTGTTTTTTTCCCTAATCCACTAACAATGTAAATAGATCCAGTGGCCAAAGTTAGGATATCGCAACAAATGATCAAAAAGATGAAATAACCCATTAAATTTTTACCCATTTTTATTTCAAAATTATTCTTATTAATTTTTTCACAATTATTAACGCTAAATCAGGGAAGTCAGTTTATTAATTTAGTTTAATTTTTAATTTAATAATAAACTCATGACAGCAAAGAAAGAGACAAATTAATTACGAAAAAAAAAATTTAAATAAATTGAAAATCATTGATCCGTAGCAGGCAGACTATTTCACTAAATTTTAGCAAATAACGCCTTTTTAACATTTATTTCCTTAAAATTCTTATTTAAAAGTAAATTTTACTTATATAAATGATAATTTTGATAAATTTTCGATTAGTTTCTTGCTCTTTTTAGCTGAGTTTTTAGGAGGTTAATTATTACTTTAAAGATAAACTTTTATATAGATACAACAGAGGATGTTATCTAACGTTCCATTAAAAACAGGACGAATCCTGTTTAAAATATTACAATTATTATTAATTTATTAAAAAATGTAATTATTTAAATGGTTTTTTGATTGATTTTATGACAAATTCAGGCTTTAAATGCAGTTTAAATCAGTGATACAAATAAATGCTGTTATATAGGTAGGCTATTCAATAATAATACAATTATAATATAACAAAATGATATAATTCAATTTAAATAATAAAATTATAAAAAAATAATTTCAAATTACGCTTAATAACGTTAGACATGCCTGAAAATTTTGAAAAATATATACAAAAACGTTTTCTATGTTTTCGTGTCAAATGTTTTTTAAATGTTTAAAAGTTGACGTTGCTTCATTTTGCTTAAACTTTTCAATTTTTTTATCTTAAATATTGATTTAAAACATTTGAAAGCCGCATTTAAATTGGGGAATAAAATTAAAATGGACCCCGAAGTTTTATTTGAGGAGAAGATTGTCAAAGTAATTTTTTATTGATATTTTCTTAAATCGTTTTAATATCGCTCATTCATTCCTAACTTTTTTTTTAAAATTTCTGCTCTGAAGCCAAACATATATCTGGGTGTTTTTTATACAAATGTTCTATTTTAAATGAAAAAAAGATTTTAAATTTGCATGGTGGCTATACCATATAAATAATCATAATGAAATAAACAAGAAAGTAATTAATGGTAATCTTGAAATTATTTTTTAAATTTAATTTTAAAAATACTTATTGTCCTATTAAAATTAGTTTGATTTGGGTTGAGTTAGTTACAGTTAGTAAGCTAGTAAGTGAAGGAGTGCCTGTAAAGGTTTTTCCTATATGTGTGTACATTTTATTATATTTTGTTCATTATATATTGCTCAGTTTAAAGTTTAGACAGTTTAGGACCTAAATTTCAAGTTAGCAGGTCCAATAAATAGTGTAGTGTGAGTTAAAACATTTTTTATAATATTTACAAATTATTTAGAATTAAATAATTTAGAATTAAAAGTAAATTTATATATTTGAAAACAGAAATTAATCAATTCATCTGTAGAGCTGTCAGTACCTTTTACAGGTTAAATAAATTAGTTTAAATTACCATAACATGATGATGGTGACGACGACGATGAGGATGATGATGATAATCCTGATTATGATGATGATGATTATTATGACTGTATTTATAATTATATTATATTTAAATTACAAATAAAATAAATATTACTTTTTAGGGTTGTTATATGGGTTGATGTGTGAGGATGGCAAAAAATACCTAATCAGTGGTTACTATTCGTTCGAAGAGTCGAACCCAAAACATTTTGTCAGGCAGTTTAGACAAGCTGCTAACTATATACCATACGGTTCGTGGATGAATGGATGGATGGATTGATGGGTCAATGAGTAAATGAATGCATGCATGGAGGGATGAATAAATGATCGAATGATTGCTTGTATGGATGAATGATTGCTGGTATGGATGAATGGTTGAGTGAATGAGTGAAAAAAGAGAAAGTTAATGATTTAAGGAATGAATGAATGATTGATTTTAATTACATTTTTAGGATACAGTATCTTTGGTTTCTTCCTGAAAACTTCACCCATGCCTCAAGTGGTCTGCAGTATTAGCAAAAAAATATTCAGTCATGCTAATAACAAAGGGGTTGGTTGGCTGTGATTGGTTGGCTGGCTGGTCGGTCGATTGGTTGATTGGTTGATTGATTGATTGATACATCCATACAAATACATATATAAAAATGCAAATACAAACCATGATAACAGAATGCAGATCAATTTCCAACCGACAACATTCTAACTCTGTCAATCGATGACAAACTGAAACTTGACTATGACGTCAGTGGAGAAGATAATGATGGGGGTAATCATAGTACTGATAGCGGTACTGGCAGTGGTGGTATAAGGGGTATTAGAGGGTTAAAATTGTACTGGTATAAGATTGGTAGTCAGTCTTTGGAAAGTTGGAAATTTAAAATTGCGACTCCAAATGATATTAGAGATATTAAAGACAGGTGTGTTTGTTTATTGGTTGGTTGATTGATTGATTGATTGATTGATTGTATCATTCATTCATTCATTCGTTCATTCATTCATTCATTCGTTCGTTCGTTGATTGTCTGGTTGATCTGCATGCCTAATTTCAAATTTTTAAATGTTTGTAGTTTTGAATCTTTATGATGTTTGCTTAAATTCTGACAGTTCAATCAACAATCAATCATTCAATCAATCAATCAATCTATCTATCTATCTTTCTATCTATCTGTCTGTCTGTCTATCTATAAATCAATCATTCAATCAATCAAATAAATATTTGAACAAACAAACAACCGACCAATCAATCAATTTATCTACCGACAGATTTTACTTGTTCCACATCCAAGCAAGACTTCCAATAAAGTTTCATCATTCTAGTAATCCTGGTCTGTCTGCGTCTGTTTTGTATCATTCACTTGAGTAATCAATGAATTGATCAATTAATCAATTGATCAATCAATCAATTGATCAATCAATCAATTGATCAATCAATTAGCCAACCAATCAATCATTTAACAACCAATCATCTAACCAGCCAACCAACCAACCAAACGACAATAAGTTAAGAATGGAACGTTTGTTTGACAACCATTCATCTAATCGATCAATCAATCACTCAACTAATAACTTACTCAATCAATCAGATCAATCTAATCAATCATTCAAATCAGACCAATCAACTAACCAATCAATCAACTAGTCAATCAATCAACCAACCAATTATCCAATGAACTAATCAATCAATCAACTAACCAATCAGTCAACCAACCAACCATTCAACCAACCAGTCAATCAACCAACCAATCAATCAATCAACCAATCAATCATTCAACCAACCAGACGACAAAAAGTCAAGTGTGGAGCACTCTTTCAACAACCTGGCCACTATCCTATCAAGCCCACTAACTCATTACAGAATAAACCCTATCAAAAAACTTCTAAAAAATCCTATTAAATCAGACGACGACGACGATGATGATGATGATAGAGGCGATGATGATGATTGCGGTAGTGGTGGTGATGATGATGATGATAGTGGGGACGGTGATTTGAGGTGGAGAGATGCCGAGAAGGTTTTGCTGGAGGGGAAAAAAAATGGCGGTTTCGAGGTTTACCAGCTTGGTGGTTATGATCAGGTCACTTGTTGTTGTTATTATTATTATATTATTATTATTATTATTTTATTATTATTATTATTGTTGTTAATCGATATGTAATTATACTTTAACTGTAAGGAGAATTTTTTGAGTAATAAAAAACCTTTTGTCTCTATTTGACTCTATTTTGAAGAAGAAGGGTTTCGCCATTATCGACTCTCAGACGAATAATTATAACCGCGATAATTATTTATAGTAATTATCATAATAAATTATATTCATCATCACAATAAGTTATATTTATCATCACAATAAATTATGTTTATCATAATAAATTATATTTATCATCACAATAAATTATATTTATTACAATAAATTATATTTATCATCACAATAAATTATATTTATCACAATAAATTATGTTTATCATCACAATAAATTATATTTATCATCACAATAAATTACATTCATCAAAAACAACGACAACAGAAAGTATGGAAGGTCGAGATAATGTTGAAATCAACCGGGGTACTAACGAATGAGTTTTACTTGCCGTGCGTGCCTGTCCTCTATCACGATCATGGTCCGTTGTTGTTGTTGTTGTTGTTTTTTATTCCATGATGTTTGTTATTTATTATATGTTGTTGTTGTATTTCTATTCTTATTTATCTTTTTCCGCTGTTGTTGTTGTTTTTTATTACTAGTCTTATTCTTCTTTTTATTATTATGCTCGGAACAATGCGGGCGGCGTGATGGCTCAATGGTTAAAGGCGCCTGGTCTTGCTATTGCAATGACTGGGTTCGAATACAAAGAGATCCCCGCCTATCATATGCAATGTGTATAATGCGTGGTTTGCACGCGTATTCATGTACGCTGTGTGTGTTTGTCGTTGAAACCTCTGAAGCAAACGCAAGAGAGAGAGAAACCTTTAACCTTTAATGCGTGAATCAATTTTCATGATAATCTTATCATCGCTCTACTTATTTCATTTTAAATGAAGAGCAGTGATGACTGACTATGACGATTGTGATTTCATTCTAATCACGACTATTCTATTCTATTAATTAACTAATTAATTATTTATTTTACGCATTTGATGAAGAATAAAAGATCTGTTTCCATTATTATTGAGATTACTATTTGTGGTAGTAGTTGTTGTAGTAGAAGAAGCCGCAGTAGTAGTAGTTGTAGCAGTAGTAGTAGTAGTAGCAGTAGTAGTAGTAGCAGCAGCAGTAGTAGTAGTAATAGTAGTAATATTAGTAGTAGTAGTAGTAGTAGCAGCAGCTGTATTTAAGTAGCAGCAGCTGTATTTAAGTAGCAGCAGCTGTATTTAAGTAGCAGCAGCTGTATTTAAGTAGCAGCATTGTTTCAAGTACGTCGCATTATCACTTATTAATAATACTTGTAGTGTTACTAATTATAAGAGTAATAATAATTATAATATGAGTAATAATAACAATAATTATAATATGAGTATTAATAATAACAACAATAATAATAATATTAATAATAATAATAATAACAACGACAAACAGTCAAGGTCATGTTGGTAGAGACCATACTGCCGATTGGCGTTCTCGCGCTTGTTCCAAAGACCAACTATAGGTATACTAATAACAACAACAACAACAATAATAAAAACAACAATAATAATAATAACAATAATAAAAACAACAATAATAATAATATATAATAATATACATAATAATATACATAATAATAATAGTAATAAAAGATGGAAAGCCGAGCAAATAGCCTGGATCTTTACACAGCAAGTTAAGAAGCAACTTAGAATATTTGCAGAATGCCTACTAGCTCATAGCAAAGTTCGTGTTAATTTTATTCGTTCTTTTGCGTTCGTTCGTTTGTTTGTTCATTCGTTTGTTTATTCGTTCGTTTATTTGTTTATTTATTTATTCATTCATTCATACACGCATTCATTCACTCGCTTATTTATTCATTTTTTCATTCATTTTTTTTTGCCTGATCATCGTCTGACATTTGGTCATTTATTCATTTATTTATTTACTCATTTCTTCCTTCCTTCATTCATTCACTCATTCGTTCATTCATTCATTCGTTCATTCATTCGTTCGTTCATTCATTCAAGTCTTCTGCGTATTACACCCCGAGGTCATTCCACTTCCTTCCGAATGACCTTGACACCTACCTCACCATCGTCTACCCGGAAGGGATGGAGGAGAAACAATTGTGTAAGTGGATGGACTGATGGGTGGATGAATGAATGAATTGAATGAATGAATGGATTGGTTGATTGGTGAGTGACTGAATGAATGAGCGAGTTGATGAATGAGCGTATTAAGTAGTGAATGATTAAATAAATTCCATTTATGGGTTACTCATTCATTTTCTTATCTATCTATCCTTAATTAATCCGTCTATCTGCCCATCTATCCATCCAATCATTCATCCATTTATCTATTCATCCATTCACCTATTCATTCATGGTTATGAATGAATAGGTGAATGGATGGAAACCTATTCATTCGTCATTAAATTGACGAATTCATGAAAGTTATTCATTCATCCATCCACCTATTTATTCATCTATTCATTCATTCATCCACCTATTTATTCATCCATTCATTCATCCATTCACCTATTTATTCATCCATTCATTCATCCATTCACCTATTTATTCATCCATTCATTCATCCATCCACCTATTTATTCATCCATTCATTCATCCATTCACCTATTTATTCATCCATTCATTCATCCATTCACCTATTTATTCATCTATTCACCTATTTATTCATCCATTCGTCTACCCATCCACACATCAATCCACCCACCCACCTACCCTCCATCCATCCATCCGACAGCCAGCATGCGGAAAGATCTTCATTCCCGTTTCCTTATCCCACTTTCGAGTCCGACTTTCCGGAGACCGAACAGTTTGAGGCTGTCCAGGATCCAGTCGCCGTATCTGCTCGACGTTCACATTGGTCTAGCACCGTCTAAGGGTGAATTTCTGTGGTTGTATCAATACTTGTGCTCTGTCAATCAGTTGATCGATTCTTCAATCTATCTATCTATTTGTCTGTCTCGGACTGTCTGTCTCGGACTGTCTGTCTATCTATCTGTCTGTCTATCTGTCTGTCTGTCTATCTATCTATCTATTTATCTGTCTGTCTGTCTGTCTGTCTATCAATCTATCTATCTATCTATCTATCTATCTATCTATCTATCTATCTATCTATCTATCTATCTATCTATCTATCTATCTATCTATCTATCTATCTATCTATCTATCTATCAATCTGTCTATCTATCTATCTATTTATCACACACAAACAAACACGCACACACACGCACACAAACACTCACACAACAACCCAACCCAGCAAAAGGTAAAGTGACATTAGTTCGGGGCAGCTTCGAATACCACCACTACATGCAAGACAGGTTAGACGATAGTGGATGGGGGTGTGCATATAGGTCCCTACAGACCATCGCGTCCTGGCTCTACCTCCAGGGCTACACCGAGAAGGCCACCCCCACCCACAGGCAGATACAACAGGTCAAGGGGTTGGATGAATTAGGGTGGTTTTGTGGGGATTTGGGAGCTTTTTAGTGGGTGGAATGGGCGTGAAAAGAAGGATTCTTTTGTATTTGTTTTTTTGTGAAATTTTTGTTTTTTTTTTAAATTGGGGTTTTATAAGTTTTTGAAATTCGTTTGGCTGCTGTTGTTAGAGTTATTGTGATAACATCTTGAAAAATTGTTTCGGGTAATGACTATTCAATTAATTAATCAATCAACTAATCAATTAATTAATTAATCATTCAGTCAATCAATCAATTAATTAATCAATTAATTAATCAACTCAGGCCTTGGTGGAAGTCGGTGATAAGCTTCCATCATTTCTCGGCTCCAAACAATGGATTGGTTCCACTGAAGTTTCATACGTTCTCGATCATATTTTCAGTGTTGGTTGAGTGGGGATTGATTGAGTGATTGATTGATTGGTTGATTGATTGGTTGATTGATTGACTGATTGATTGACAGATTCAGTGCAAGATAAGCCACGCCTCCTCTGGTCTCGAGATGTCCTCGAAAATTCGTGAGATCATCCACCATCTTGAAACCCATGGTTCACCCATGATGATTGGTTGGTTGTTATATGTGTGTTTGTTTGTTTGTTTGTTTTTTCGTATGTTTGTATGTATGTATGTTTGTTTGTATGTATGTATGTTTGTTTGTTTGTATGTATATATGTTTGTATGTTTTTTTGTATGTATGCATATTTGTTTGTTTGTTTGTTTGTATGTATGTTTGTTTGTAAGTATGTATGTTTCTTTGTTTGTATATGTATGTATGTTTGTATACATACAAACCAGGAGGCGGGGTACTAGCCCATACGATCATAGGCATCGATTTCAACGAGGAGACTGGCGATGTGGCCTACCTTGTTCTTGACCCACACTACACTGGCCCTGAAGATCTCAAGGTCATTCAGTCTAAGGTCTGTCTATCTAGACGGTCTAACTGTCTAACGTCTGTCTCAGTGTATGGTCTGGTCTGGTGGATGGTTGTTAATTTGTCCATTTGACTCGAATGCATGAATGTTTGGGTTTTTAAATGTCTGGAGATTGATGTCCAGTCGAGACACCTGGATGAATTTTGGATGTTCGGCTGTCTAGTTGTCACAATCATCATCATCATCATTATCTTAAAAATAATTTTCACCACAATTATAATCGTCATCATAATTAAAACGTACCATCACAATCATTATCACTTTCAACGCTTTATATGTTAACAATGTCATTGCTATCTTCATCATCATCACTATCATCACCATCATTGCAATCATCATCATCACTATAATCATCATCACTATAATCATCATCACTATCATCATCATCACTATCATCATCATAACTATCACCATCACTATCATCATCACTATCATCATCATCATCATCAAAGGGATGGTGTGGATGGAAAGGTCCGGATTTCTGGAGTGCCAATAGTTTTTATAACATATGCATGCCTCTCAAGCCATCCGGCTATTGATGGACTGAACGAACGAATGCATGTATGGATGAATGAATGAATAAATGAATGAATGAATGAATGATGGAGGCGTGAGTAAAAGAGTTAGTTAGTCGGCAAATGAAAGAATAGATGGGTAAGAATGAATGAATGAATGTATGGATGATTTAATTTATTAAATGAATGAATAAACGAGTGGGCGAATGATTGATTGATTAGTAAGTTGGTTGATAATAAATTGATATGATTGATTAGTAAGTTGGTTGATTGATTAATTGTTTGGGTAGTTGGTCAGTTGAAAGAATTGATTGATTGATTGATTAATTGATTGATTAGTTGATTGATTAATTGATTAATTAATTGATTGATTGAAAAATTCTTCAAATAAATTGAATAAGTAAGATGAATAAGTAGGATGAATAAATGAATTAATAGGATGAATAAATGAATTAATAAATGAATGAATGAATTGACAGATGAACGAATTTATATATATACATGACTGTATATCTGAATTAGTCCATATGTTTGTATTTAATTTGTTGGCCCCAAAAAAAGATTCTATATATTTATATATATATATATTTCAAAAGTCGAACATTATTTACCATTTGTTAATCGTTCGTTTATTCCCAGACAGATTTTCTCATTACTATTATTGTTGTTATTATTATTGTTGTTATTATTTTTATCATCATTGTTGTTATTGTTATTATGATTGTTGCTATTGTTATTATCATTGTTGGTATCGGTGATTTGAAGCGGAGTTTTTTAATTTTTATTGGGTAAAAACAACTTATTCAGGTTTAAATAGCTTGCTAATTGGTTGGCTGGTTGGTTTATTGATTGGTGGATTGATTGATTTAAAAAAGGGTCAAAAGGAGTCACAAATCTTAAAAAAATTCTCCCCCGGGTCGAAAAATGCGGCCCTTCAAAGGTAAAATTGTTCTCAACACGGCCCTCACAGCAAAAATTTAATTAATTAATTGAGATTAATTTATCTGTTTCGTGTTTAAATCATTATTTAGTTTGTTGACTTATCGTTCGGTTATTTAACTGACTGACTGATTGATTGATTAGTAAGTTGGTTGATTGATTAATTGTTTGGGTAGTTGGTCAGTTGAAAGAATTGATTGATTGATTAATTGATTGATTAGTTAATTGATTAATTAATTGATTGATTGAAAAATTCTTCAAATAAATTGAATAAGTAAGATG